GTTTTATTTTTCCCAGTGACAGAAGGGGTCGAGTTCTGTCTGGAACAGAGATGCTCGAGTTCTGTCCGCAACAGAAACCCTCGAGGTCTTCTGTTCACAACAGAGACGCTCGAGGTCTTCTGTTCGCAACAGAGACCCTCGAGGTCTTCTCTTCGCAACAGAGACGCTCGAGGTCTTCTGTTCGCAACAGAGACCCTCGAGGCCTTCTGTTCGCAACAGAGACGCTCCAGGCCTTCTGTTCGCAACAGAAGGTCTTCTGGTCCGTTACAGCAATAAATGCCCAACGTTCTTCTCTTTTAATGCTGCGTTAAATGGACAGTTTATGGACGATTCAATGCCCAACGGACTGGTCATTGATGTCCAACGTTCAGGTCCATTAACACCCCATTTAACACACAACAAATCCTCCTATAAAAGGCTGGCAGGTGGTTTGCAACAAGACACAACGCACAATACATTCCTCACGAATTTGTTAAGCTAAAAACACCTACAGCTACTCTGCAAATTCCTTCTGTGTTCATACTTGGTTCTCGTTCGCTGGAACTCTTGTTTGTGTGCTGAAACATTAGTTCGTAGTCATCGTATCCTGGGAAACGACTGTTGCAACGCTCCTAGCACCGTGGGAGGCAACAAATACGTTTTAAGGACATCGTGCGTAACACGAGCTTTGACTAATTCTGCTTCATCTCCTTTCTTGTTTTTCTCTAGTCATTTTATTTAATTAATTTATTTTAATTAATTTCCTTTATTTTCCGAAACACACCCAACACATCCACTCATTGTATACACTTTCATCACATTTTCTCCAATACACAATATACACTCTATCTCCTTAAAACTCACAGAGAGACGGAGCACATGGAACCAATTTCTGCAATACTGAAATATTAATAAGATGAATAGACCAAACACATTACACATATAGGTAAAACAACTTTAAAGTCTAAGAAAACAATGCAACCAAGTACAAAGTATATATCTTCATTGTATGGGAATAGGATGTATGTATGGTCTATACTCAAACTCTTTATTTAAACATAGCTTATATTTCATACATGATATTTAACTTAGGTTGGTAACGTTGACTTGATGTTTGGTTCCCATAAGTCTAAACTTAGTCTGTGGCTAAACTTAGGTTTGGAAAACAAAAAACAGGAAAATGAAAACAGAAAACTGTAGACCTGAAAATAGAAAATGAAAACAAAAAACTCTCTGTTAGTAAACATGCCCTTAATATTCATGCTCGCGGAGGTTATAGGGTTCGATTCCATTGGTCGCGCCTTTTTTGCTTTTTATCACTACTAGTTTTATTTTATTTTAGGGAATGTTCCCGAAATAGGACTAAAAGAGTTTGAAAATTCCAAAATAGGACTGTCATGTTTTTTATTTCCAAAATAGGACTAATTACTGCCAAGTTTAGAAAATACCGCCATGTTTGAAGTCTGGTACTGCCATAACATGACAGTAATTAGTCCTATTTTAGGAATAAAAACATGTCAGTCCTATTTTGGAATTTTCAAACCTTTTTAGTCCTATTTCGGGTAATATTCTCTTTATTTTATTACTCAAAGACTAAAACTATGTCGTTTTGGTCGTTTCTTTTTAGGAATTTTATTAATTCAGGACTCGAAAGATAGATAAATTATCAATTCCGGACCTGATAGATAAATTGTATCGGTAAAGGATCCGAATGATGGAAAATTATCAATTTAAGACCTAACATTTCATTGGTTTTTATTTATTTTATTTTGTATTAATTCCATTGCTAATTTTTTATAAGATTTTCTTCACAAAAGTTTATTAGTTCAATAAAACTAAATGATATTTAAAATTTTTGAAATAAAAAATAATAAAATTCATGACAACTTAGGTCCTAGATTTATAGTTTTGGATTTCAAACCTATGCAACAAGACACAACGCACACTAAATTTTTTAGATTAGTTATTTAAATATCTTTGGATGTTAAGATTAAATTATTAGATTTATGATAGTTATGAATATTTTTTTGAATATTTTATGATTTAGGTTGAAAAGTTATTTCATTGGTGTATCAAGATTTAAAGAAATTCGGAGTAACAGGAGTAGTTTAGATGTTTATTCAAATTATTTAATATTTTACTTATTTTTTTATTAATTTTATACTAGTATTAATTCTAGAAATTACCAGCGCTAGTCAGGCGACCAAGTCGTCGTCTGTCGTCCCTTCTCACCATAGCAAATTCACACAATCGACAAGGCGACGATCAATCTTCTTCAACGCGAATCCGCACCAGCCACCACTTTCTGCCTCACCCCTGCGAGCCTGCAAGCCATCACTTGCTGACTGCCGACTGCGTCTGTCCACCGCACCTGCACGCTGGACGAAAATTGTTGTTGATTATTTAAAAAACTTTTAGTTTTAAAGTTTTTAATATGACAATTATGAATCGTTCACTGATAGAGAGCGGGAAGAGCATGGGGCGGGACCGGGCTTGGGCCCACTTCCGTGGGCCGAGTTAGGGCTGTCGTTATAGTTTAATTATTATTATTATTAAGTTAATGTTATGTTTTAGTTTGGGCCTATTATTAGTAGAGTAGTTAGTTGAGTTAATTTGGGCTTAATTAGGGTTTAATTAATATGGGCTTGATTAGGGTTTCTTGTAGAAGGCTATTTATACCCCTCGCCAGGGTTCATTCTTATTATCTTGGAATAAAGTTAGAGTTTAGCCTTTTGGCTTTGGGCAACGATATTTTTATCGTTGATTATCTGGTCAACGGTTCACCCCGTTGATTTCTATTTTTCTGTTACATATCAATTGGTCCGACCTGCCGGATCCCGTCCCGCCGGAATGACGAGATCAACCAACGAACGTTTATCAGAATTGGAGGCTGAACAGGCCCTAATCAATCAAAAACTTGACACGCAAGGACAGAAACTTGATCTGCAGGGACAGAAACTTGACACACAAGGTCAGAAACTGGAAGAGCAGGCCGCCCAACTTGCGGAAATCGCAACCTCTCTTGCAGCAATCGCTAAGGCCATGGTGCCGCCGCAGAAATCTCCCATCGCGACCATCGAGAGCGATTCCTCCGGCCACGTCGCATCTGTCTTCTCCGATGATGGCGGACTGCGCACCGCAGCCACAACGCTACTTCCCTCGTTCGATGGCGAAGACCCAATTGGGTGGTTGGCGAGAGTGGAGCAGCAGTTCGAGCTCAACAGGACCCCACCAGACAGACAAGTTGTAGCGGCTAGGGTTTCTATGGAAGGGGCTGCCCTCTATTGGGTGACGTGGTTAAAGGCGCGCAAACCTGGCATATCTTGGGAGGAATTTTAGCAAGCCTTGGTGGCCAGATTTGATTCCCGATATCAGGGAAACAGGTTTGAACGGTTGTCCGGCGTCAAACAAATTGGGTCGGTGGAGGAATACAATACCTTGTTCGTTCAATTGGCTAGCCAAGTTCCGGGATTGACCGACGATCATTATTTGGGCTACTACATGAGTGGACTTGGGGAAGCAATCCGAAGTTCGCTGCGCTTATTACGGCCAGAAAACCTGGAGACAGCCATGGAATTAGCTCGCGATGTGGAGCATAATCTGTCCGTCCAAAGTGGAGGAAGTGGCAGCCCGAATTATAATTCTGCAGGGGTACGTTCCAGCAGCTTTTTAATGGCAAACATGGGTCCTCCTTTGACTACCAGTGGTGGCAGCTTGCAGGGATCAAGGGGCAGCTTTGCGAAGGATAGTGGACAGCCTCCGGGGATGAAGTCAGGGTTGTCCGGGCAACCTACGACACGCTCTCAGTTCACTCGTCTTCCGCCAAAGGAGTTCGCAGAATTGAGGGCGAAAGGATTATGCTTTAGGTGTAAGAAACCATTTACACCAGGGCACGACTGTCCCTTTAAGTAGCTGCGGGTAATGATAGCCGAGGAGGAGGAAGAGTTAGACCTCCAACAGCATGAGTACTGTGAAATAACCGGCCAGGAAAGAGAGAAAGGATATTTTCCAGGGAATTTCAGCTCCCCATCTGTCATCTTTCAACCTTGAGGACAAGGTTATTTTGAAGGAGGATGGATTGATAGAGAGCGGGAAGAGCATGGGGCGGGACCGGGCTTGGGCCCACTTCCGTGGGCCGAGTTAGGGCTATCGTTATAGTTTAATTATTATTATTATTAAGTTAATGTTATGTTTTAGTTTGGCCTATTATTAGTAGAGTAGTTAATTGAGTTAATTTGGGCTTAATTAGGGTTTAATTAATATGGGCTTGATTAGGGTTTCTTGTAGAAGGCTATTTATACCCCTCGCTAGGGTTCACCCCGTTGATTTCTATTTTTCTGTTACATATCATTCACCTTTTTAATAACTGCAGAAATATAATTTTCATCCATATAATTGTAGGTGGAGTGGTGGACAGATTATTCAATTTATCATTACCAATATAGAACGTGCATGAGATCATTCAACACCAAGTTCCACTACTATATATACGAGTTAGATCCTGTAAAATCATGAAAAAGTGCTTTTAAGTGTTTTTCCTATCAATATGACATCCAATGTCTGCACCAATATAACCAATTAGATTTTTCTTGGTACTTTTAGGGTGTGTTTGGAAGTTGGGTTTTGGAGGGGAGAGGAAGGTTTATGGGGTTTATAACCCTCCTTTTCATGTTTGGGAGTTTATAAAATTGGAGGGGATGGTTTTGGAGGGCTTTCATGACCCTCCAAAACCCTCTCAATGCTCAAGTTTTATGTTCCCTCAATTTGGAAGGTTTTGAAGAATAATTAATGAAATGCTAATTTAAGCTCAATTAAAAATAAATATAAGTTCAATTATTTAAACTCGTCATATCTCAAAGTAATTTTAATTATAATTCATTCAAAAACTCTCCTTCCAAATTTATTACTCCCAAATACAAAGGAGGGTTTCCTCACCCTCCCATCCCTTTCCCCTCCAACAACATACCTCCAAAGTCTTTCTTCCCTTTCCCTCCAAACTCCCAAACATACCTGTAGGGTATCATAATCATGTAATGCTTGTGCATTTAATATATCTTAAGATGAGTTTAACTGTATTGAGATAGTACTCTTGTGGGTTATTGAAGAGTAATAGGATAAAGAAGACTGTCAATCATACATAGATATGTCTTCAAAACTCCTTAGCCTGCTGAAATCCTTCGCATTTTGTCTTCCCCTTTCTTCACCGTATAGCATCTTAGCGACGATAGTTATTCTTAGCGACGATAGTTATTCTGCGATCATAATTTTCAGTACCAATCAGTGACCAAGTGACGACTCCAGTGGCGGCGAATTTGCTTCGAGCTTCAGTGCCTGAAGGCGGCATCGCGACAGTCCGAAACTTTGAATATACCGGTTCAGACCTTGCTCCATGAGATTATCTCCGGTTCACAATTCCAAAAAACAAACCTCAAACTTATTATCTCCTTCAATTTTCTCTTCCCTTCATTCTCTTTTCTACTTTTTTTAACAAACGTAGCATTAATATCTGCTTTTCTCATGTCAAAGGGCCCACCATTGCATTGAAAGATCCGCCTCCCCAATGAAAACCCATTGCTCTCTATCGGTGTAAAAGTTGATTAGTTTCAAGTTTGGTGTGTCTGTTATCTCTATGTGAGCAGACCAGATGGGATTTTAGTTCCCTCAATCTTGATTGATTATACCTTAGGAAAATGACTGTCTTGCCAAAGGTTCTACTCTACTCAACTCTAGCATGTGCACCTACACCTCGATATAAGAAAAATGGAAGCACCAATCCTGCCATCATCGCAAGATCAACACCAACCAAGATTGAAGCTACTAAGAGACGGTGAAGTTTCTCTCAGCACTTTTTTCAAACAATTGATGGGTCTGTTATTTTTTAGTTGTTTCTGTTCTTTCTTTTCTTAACTTTCTTAAAAAATCTTAGTTGTGTGTGCTATGACATGCATAAAGAGCTTGTACCCTACGCTGAGGCATGGTCTCTACAGAAGTCCATTGTCAAGGAGCGAAAAGCATTGGTCCAAAGAAATGAAGATTTTTCAGACAGCCTAATTGTCCTGCAACACCATCCGGTATATACTTTGGGAACTGGGAGTTCAGAAGAATATTTACATTTTGATCAGAAGAATGCTCCTTTTGCTGTGTACCGTACTGAGCGTGGAGGTGAGGTTACCTATCATGGCCCTGGTCAGGTACCTTATTCTCCCCCCCCCCCCCCCCCCCCCCCTCCCACCACAGTTTAAACTTGTATTTGTGTGCCATTTATTTTCGTTTCCTTGATAAATTGGATGTATATGATTTATATTAAGCATCTAACTTATCATTCATTTTTGTTTTTATTTCAAATCAAAATAATTTAAAAAAGTAAACATATAAAATTGAAATCTTTGAGCCCACAGTTGTTTCAAATTTTCACTTAAAAACTTCACTTAATATATGAATCAACTAATCCAAAAAAAAACTAACTTAAAAAGCCTTACTTTTTACTTCAGTAATGTGGTAACTACTCTTCTATTCTATTAAAAAGATATCCCCCAAACATGGGCTTTGTTCTTTACACTTACAGATCTAGCCAAGGCATTAGGCGATTTAGATCCCAGTTTGACGTATATTTTCCCATGAAATGCGTATACATAATGTGTATATATCGTCTGGTTGTTATTGTATGCAGATAGTGATGTACCCTATAATGAACCTCCGTTATCAAAAGATGGACCTTCATTGGTACCTGAGGGCACTCGAAGAGGTGGTAATCCGAGCTCTGGCTTCATCTTTTTCCATTAAAGCTTCACGAATTGATGGCTTGACTGGTGTTTGGCTTGGTAATGGTATCCTCCAAAATTTTATAATACACTCTCTATGTCTATAAACAATCCACAATATTCTGGTCTGTTGGGTTTATTTAGGGGAGTATGTAGTATGCTAGTCTGAGGTATGTGGATTGATTATGGAACTTCTTATCTCAGGAGATGAGAAAGTAGCTGCGATTGGTGTTAAGGTCTCTCAGTGGATCACATACCATGGGTTAGCACTTAATGTCAGCACAGATTTAGCTGCTTTTCAGCAGATTGTGCCTTGTGGGATCAAAGGTCGTCGAGTTGGAAGCATAAAGGAGCTTCTTTGTCCTCCTAATGCTGGGGCTTCTTCTTCGTCATGCTATAAAACTGTATATGATGATTCTGAGCTTATGGATATTGCTTACACTTCACTTGTTCAAAAATTTTGTGAACTGTTCCAAGTTGACCTTTACTATAAATAATATATTCACTCCTCCACCCCAAATTTAAGATTCCATACACCATCATGCAGGTTAACTCAACTCTTTTTTAATATATGATTTAATATACTCTGCAATATTGGAAGAGGTATGCTTCTTCGGGAGAGGTATTGGTATGGTCCCCCTCTCTTTTTGTACTTCATTCCTTTTTTAATAAAATAACGGCAAATGTTCCCCGGCATTTGCCCCACCGATGGGTGGTTTGCTTTCCGGGATAAAAAAAAACTCTGCAATACTTTTTATCATATTCATTATCATATTCAAATCTAGTCGTAGCAGTTCAATAAAGCTTTTAGTGTTCTTTAGATGCATATGAAGTATATAGTTGATACAAACATTGGTTGATACGAACTTTGCAGCAGTTTGCCAACTACATTTTAATTTCAAAATACTTATTTCCCAATCTATACGAGCAACCATAACGCTCCCTTTCTAGTATAGGTTAAGTGTGTCATGTCATTAAAATTAGAAATTGTCTTTGTATGTAACCCTCCAATGCTTGTAGTCTTTTGCTGACATGGCAAAAAAAAAAATAAACACTGTGAAGGCCAACATTTGAGCGTAGAAAGCCGTCCAAACTTGTTGACTCAACAAAAAATAGGTGCGGCTTCACCAAAAAATTAGAGGGAAATCGAAAAGTCAAGAGCTACCGTGAATTCTCCTTGCCAAACTGCCACAAATCATTCTCTCTGGTTTTTCTATCATAGAAGAAGCTCTGGGATTTCACAAAAACATTTATTTTGGTATGTCAATAATTAGTTTTTAACCTTAAATTTTCAGGAAAACCCAGCTGATTCATAGTAATTGTGTTTACGTTTGCCGATTCATACTAATTGTGTTTATGTTTGCCAAATTCATAGTAATTGTGTTTATATTTGTGGATTCATACTGTTTTTTTTTTGGGAAAACCAGGTCAATTTTTCGAGCCCCCTCAAATATTCCTTTGCGATTTTACTAATTTCCGAGCTCCCTAAAAAGCCAGGTCAATTGTGTTTGTGTTTGATACTAAACTTAACTTTGATAACATAAGTTCAATTGATATCGTGGTGTGATTTTTAACAATCCTTGTAGGTGCCGGTTGATAATCTGAAATGTGATATGAGAAGTAAATTACTGTACTTTTTATCATTTTGAAATGGAATAGCTCCTTTTAGTTGCTGCGATATGAGAATCTGAGTTTATTAGATAATTAGCTGAACAATTTTTTGTCACTAAATTAGATTTTTGTGATTCTAATTAAATATAAAAACATTGAGCACTTATTAAGACATTACGATGAATTAGATACCATATGCGTTGTGGAAGAGTATTAGAACTTCTCATTATTCTAAAGTGACCCTCTTTACTGTGGTGGCCTGGAGCTTTTTTCCCCAACTTCCCAGGCCAGGGAGTAACATTTTGCCTCAACTCTAGAGCTGCCCCTAACAGAGTATCATCACAACTAAAGACTAATGTTTTACACTTAATCTGGACAGTGGAAAAGCTTGAACAACAGCTTTAGCTAATTAACCAGCGTTATGAAAACTGAAAAGTATGACTTGTTGTGAAATAATTAATACTTATCAGTTTATTGGGTGAAGCATTTCTTGAGACAATATGATTTCTTTAAATACAATTAGACTATACTTCTTTTTGTTCACTCTATTGGTCAAATTTTAATTTTTAACATTGTACTTGATGTATGTTGTAAAATAGTCTTGTATTCTAATGAATCATATGCTTAGTAGATCAATTACAGCATTAACACCAATTATTTTCAGGCCATATTGTCATTAGCCTGACAATTTGAATAAGAGGTTGTAACTTGTAAGTTCCAGGGAAGACAAAACCACAAAGATTCTTATGGCTTATCTAATAAAGGGAAACTGTGGAGTATATGATATAGAGTTAACAGTTTAGGCTTTTACATAGAGATCATGAAAAATAAACATTTAGGCTCTGGTTAATATCAGTATGTGGCTTATTCTGATTATTGACACCAAAAGCAAAAATTAGGTTCAATTGTAGCTCTCACCTTGCTTTGTTACCAAATGCTTTTCCTCTAAAAAAATCAGGAGATTCACTCATTTCACCCAATCACCCATATAACACTTGCCTAATTGGCCCTTAAAAAGACCATTATATTTTGATGGGGGGTGATAAGCATGTGACTTCAAGAATTATGCATCAACCAAACTCAGGTAGTGCCTTCCACAAGTTATGCATTTCTTTTTCTGGGAACTAATAATAATGTAACATACCTATTTTCAAAACTACAAACAGCCATTTCAGTTATTTCACGTATATAATAATTGAGTATATATTCATATATACGTATATATAATTGTGAATTGGGTTTTATACGAGTGAAATAATTGAGTATGAAATATTATTGTTGCCTATTCATATGTATAAAAAATCTTAATAAAGTTGGTTGTATTACGAACGCGTATACTGTACAGTCGGCTGTACAGTGATCACTGTACAGTCGGTGGTAAAATTGTAATTTTTGTGAAAATTGCGGATTCTCCTAAATGAGCATTTATGCAACTTTGATGAACATCAATCCTGTTCTTTTGAGTATTAGGAGCCTAATGGTGAGAATCAGTGATCTCTGCTTCAAATCTTATATATCATTTTTGGTTATTATTTTTTCGTTTAGTACGATACATTTGAAATGTTCAACATTTTAAAATGAGCATACATAACTTACAAGTTAGTATCAAATAACTAAAAGGTTCGTTTGTGTGCTCATTCTTTTTGGGCGTTATACTCATATGAGTTTAACATAAAACTCATTTCATTTAAAATGAGTATTAAGCAAATATCAAATGAGTATACATAAATTACAAAATGAGCAATCATAAAACTCATTCGAAATGTCTACTATGCTCATAATTTCATTTTGTATAAAAAAATGTGGCAACCCATGTACCAGACCAGTAATTAGTAGAGACGGAAAAATAGAGTGTGAAGAATAGGAATCGCTCGCAGGGGTAGAGCCGTCTCTGCGTCGGCTAAGAATCTCAGTCGTGACTCGTGAGTTGCACTTGGAAGCTTGGCTATCAACGATCTGCGTTCGTGAGTTTCACCAGACTTTCGATCTGCCGTCCTTCGTCGTCGTCGTTGGTGAGTTGTAGGGCTGAATCGCGAGTTGCAGGGCTGAATCGCAGAGGTTTAATTACAAAAAAACCCAGCTGTACGGCACCGCATAGCCGGTCGTACGGTGTATTTTACCGTCGTATTACCTGTTCTTCAACGAAAAGCATTCAATTTGAATAACTCATTAACAATATAGAGCCCGTTTAGTAACACTAAATTTGGCTGAATTGGCTGATTCTGCTGAAATTTATGAAGTTCTGGCCGTAGTGGCTGTATTGGCTGATTCTGCTGATTCATGAAAAAATTATATTTAAAATATTTGTTATTAATAAATTAAATAAAAAATTATATAAAAAAATAGCTCAAATGATCCTCTAAAGTAACTTTAGCCAATACAATCAGAAAAGTAACTCCAACCTTACTTTTTTGCTTATTACAAAATTCAGCGCACGAAATCAAAAGTTATGTGTTTGGTGAAAGCTGTCTGATAAACCTGATAAGCCAAAAAAGGGGTCACCAAACGGGCTCATAAATTAGTTGTTTTTCGTTGAAACCTAACTAATGCATACGGATAATAATATTTTGTTAATTAAATAAAAGCCACATGTATAATTGACTTGGGCCATAGACTTTATGCATTGGAGGAAGTTTTAATAACTCAAAGCCCCACTAGTCCACTTTGTATGATGTATAATAGAAATCCTTTTAATTAATTGAAATTTGGCACATTTCACACACACCAGAAAGTTTTGCATTGGGGTTGCTTCAAGTGTCACTCTCAAGGGCTTTTGCTTGGATATTAGAAACAGATGAAAACAACTGATTTGCATATCTGAAATTTAAAGTGCTGGATAACTTTTATAAATAATCGTGCAAATGAGTCAACATGTCAAATACAAAAGGGTAAACTTCAAAAACTGCAAAGTTAAGTAACTGGAAAATATGGTTGAAGGTGGTCATGGTCCTGTGGTATCTTATAACTACCAATGCCTTTAATTGGACTATGGTATAAAAGCATCAACCATTGCTTCATACTTCGTAATAAATAGGAGAAAAATTACATTTTTAAATAACTAAACTCAGCACGGTTCTAATTGAGCATGTCATTCTTAAACTCCAGCCACTTTAAGCTCTTCAACACTCTCCAGTTTGTCAAAATGCACTACCAAAAAGATACACAACAATCTTTTCTGTGAAAATGTACTAAAAAGGGGAGATAGATCAGGAGAGTGTTAATAGTTCTCATCTACTGGGCTAGAAGGAAAGAGCGTTACAAGAAAGGACAACAACGACCAGAGGCAAGCCAAACCTAATGCTTGGAAAGTTACAATCAAGGAAACAAATGCTCCATTTCTCTGAAGAGTATCCGGTGTCATAGGAAGTTTTCTAGTTGCAAACATTACTCTCTGAACAAATCCAATAGCTCTGGTCAACTGGTAGAACCTATACACCTGGATACCACCAGAATTTCTTTAGGCTCAAACTTCAATTAATAATTTTTCAATGATACTTGGTGTATTTATTTCAGAATATAAAGACTAAGAAATCTTAATATATGTAAAATTTAAAAAGATTCATAGTATTTAATTCCACATTTTATGTTTTGAGGGAATGCCAAACATACCCTTTTGTGTTCTCCTATACTTTCAAAAGAAAGAAACTTTAAGATAGAATTGTAGAAAAACTATACCTCGAAAATAATTGGGACAAGAGGCCAACAAGAGGATTTGTTTTTCTGAAGTTGCTTCTCAAATGCGAATTGAACAAGAAAGCCAAGCAAGAGAGGAGCCATTGCAACCAAGGCTATTGTATCAAGAGCTGGCCATGTGATATAAAGTACAAAAAGAGGAAGGAGTGTCTTGAAGCCCATTATAAGGACTGCAGAAGTTGAGTAGCCTCGATGGCCGGTTATTAGACTCCACCTCTTTGTACTAAACTCCAGGTATGGCTTTTGAACATGCCCAGTAACAGAAAGATATACTCCCACTCCAATGTAGAAGATGACCTCTGTGATGGATGAAGTCAAAATTTCTGCGTTGACAAACATCAACAACATACTTAGTAGGAAAAAGTTTCACAATCGGTGAGTTTACAATGTAAGACAAATATAAGCAATTTTTTTTAAAAATAAAGAATCGGCTGAATTGCATCAGGTGAGGAAGATTGCCCTAACTTTTCTAATTCCATGCTAACCATGAAACAAAATGAAACTATCAGTTTCCAATGGAGTGTAGTCATACAACCTGAGAGAACATCATTCTGGAGACCATCAATGGCAATATCAACAAGAAACCGGGGAAAAACAAAAGAAGATATTAATGCAAGAGGAGCAATAACCCATCGAAAAGATCCAATTTCTCTCTCGGAAGGAGCCAACTCTGATTTATTTTCTTCAACCAATTGGTGAGTCAGCCCAACAAAAGAAACAGAACCTGGTTTCCCCTGATGTGGTTTCACCCTGCTAATGCCATTATCAAGAACATTGCTGTCCCCACTTCCGGAAGATCTTAACTTTTGCTTAGAAGAGGAGCTTGACCTAGACATGGGAACAATTGCCCCATTCTTCAGCCAGGAATTCACTGCAAATGAAATGAATAATAGTATAAAACGTAATAATCAAGACGACAAAAAATAACATTTATTATGCATCAAAGAGTCAGAAAATTCAAGGGAACGTGCATTTCAACTCAGGGCGAAGGAGAGCCTGCTTCCTCGATGTCAAATTGCTCTTGGAGTGTGAGTGTTCCCCAAATGAAAATGAAGGAGAAGCCGGCAAAACAGTGATGGACAAGTTAGATGGCACAGAAAAGGAAAAGGAAAAAGAATTGATAGATTAGAGTAGAGACGCTTACGATCTGATGCCGGAAAGGAGAAAAGTTGGGGAAAGAGAGTCGATTGGGGAGCAAAGAGCGGGGACATTGCAGCTCCATTCGCGCGCTTCTTTGCGGGGATGAGCTGTATGTAGGGTGCAAAAGAGCAGAGCCTAGCAGAGCTCGAGTTTAGGTAGGTTGGAGCTAGAAATATATTGTATTGGCTAGAAATGTATTGTATTGGTTATAGTTCGAGCTCGGTTCGAAAGAGCTTAAAAAATCTGGACTCGAACTCGACTCACAAATATCGACATGGTTCGATCCGGCTCGATTCGGTTCGATAGTTTTGGTTCGTCAATTCAAATGTTACAAGTCTGATTAGCTCGAAAATTCGGGTTTGAACTCGAGCTCAAGTATGAAACAATATTTGAATATTTGTGCTTAGTATTTGCAAATCGAAAATTCGGGTTTGAACTCGACACGGAAGAAGCCAATTAGTCTCACCTCAAAGTATAGCCAATTAGTAACATCTATTGAAGAAGCCAAGGATATGGAGACCTATACCTTTGAAGAACTGAAAGGCTCTCTTCAAGCCTTTGATGAAAGGCAGACTAGCATGGAAGAGTCCTGTGAAGAAAAAGCATTCCAAACCAAAGGAGAAGCCCCACAAGACAATCCATTTGGTGGACAAGGAAGAGGAAGAGGAAGCTTTAGAGGTGGTTTCAGAGGCAGAGGTAGAGGAAGACATCAATCAAATCATGACAGGTTTGACAATACAAAGAACACTTACAACCCATCTATTAAGTGTTACTATTGTAAGAAACCTGGTCATAAAGAGGCTGAATGCTGGAAGAAGCATGGAAAACCAGTTTCCGGTGAGACTGAGCAAAGGTCTAATTATGTTGAACACAAGCAATTATTCCTTGCTCAACACAATTATGATCAAACTGGAGCTATGGTATGGTATGTTGATAGTGGTTGCTCAAACCATATGACTAGAACAAAAGACATGTTTCAAGACATTGATGATACTAAAAAAGGAGTTGTTAGCCTCGGTGATGGCAAACAACTAACAGTTGAAGGGCTAGGCACTATTTCAGTACACACTGATCAAGGCAAGATGAAGTCCATATCAAATGTGCAGTATGTACCTCAATTGGCTCATAATTTGTTAAGTGAAGGCCAACTAGTGACTGGAGGATACTCAGTGATCTCTGAGGAGGGACTGTGTACAATTAAGGATGTACATACCAGTGATATTCTACTGAAAGCTAGGATGGGGAGGAATAAGCTCTTTCCTTTGGACCTATCTAATCACTGTGGCAGATCTCTTGTGATGAAGGGTGAAGACAATGCCAAATTGTGGCATTTAAGATATGGACATCTCAACATCAATAGTCTGAGACTGCTCAGTTGCAGGGGTTTTGTAAAAGGTCTACCCAACATTGAAGAACTAGATTTGTGTGAAGGATGCATCTATGGCAAGCAAACCAGAAGATCATTTCCTATTGTAGGCTCATGGAGGGCAAATGACTGTCTAGAACTTCTTCATGCTGATTTGTGTGGCCCAATGGACACAGAATCATTGGGTGGTAGTAGGTATTTCCTCATGATCACTGATAACTTTAGCAGGATGTCCTGGATTTATTTTCAAAAACAAAAATCAGAAGCTCTAGAAAATTTCAAAAGATTCAAAGCTTTAGTTGAGAAGCAAAGTGGCAAGTTTATCAAGGCACTAAGAACTGATAGAGGAGGAGAGTTCAGTTCTAATGTCTTTGTACAATTCTGTGATGAACAAGGAATAAGAAGAGAGTTCACAACACCCTACACTCCACAGCAAAATGGAGTGGCTGAGAGGAAGAATAGGACAGTAGTTGAAATGGCTAGAAGCATGCTAAAAGCCAAGGGTCTACCAAACAAGTTTTGGGGAGAAGTTGTATCCACTGCACTGTACATTCTTAATATTTCACCAACCAGAGCAGTACCAAATTCCACTCCATTTGAAGTATGGAGAATGAAGAGACCTTCAGTAGGTCATAGGAAAATCTTTGGGTGTATTGCATATACACTTGTGAATCTGAGAGGCAAGCTAGATGATAAAGCAGAAAAATACATCTTTATAGGCTATTCTACTCAGTCTAAGGCCTATAGGTCGTATAATCCTCTTACTGACAAAATCATTGTCAGTAGGAATGTTATTTTTGATGAAGATGCAGCATGGGATTGGCAGACTACTACTCACAAAGAGAGAGAAATGCAAAAGCTTATTGGTTTGGAAGACTCCACTGATCCTGATCAGCCTCAGACCTTTTCAGCAAGTCTTAGCACTCAGTCTCACAATGAAGATAACAATGAAGATTCAGATACTTCATCCAATGAGAGACCTAGAAAGGTAAGATCTCTTGTTGATATTTATGAGTCCTGTAGTCTTGATTTAGTTGTTACAGAACCTGCAAACTATGATGAAGCCTCATCATACACTGAATGGACATAAGAAATGAAGAAATAGCTCAACTCTATTGAGAAGAATAGAACTTGGAAATTAGTGGATTTGCCACAAGACAAGAATGTTATAGGGCTGAAATGGGTATACAGGACAAAGTATAACTCAGATGGAAGCATAGCTAAGCATAAAGCTCGCTTGGTAGCAAAGGGATATGCACAACAAAAAGGAGTAGACTATGAGGAGACCTTCTCCCCTGTAGCCAGATTTGAAACTATAAGGATTATCCTTGCATTGGCAGCTCAATGGAAACTGACTATATATAAGTTAGATGTAAAGTCAGCTTTCCTTAATGGAGATCTGAGTCAGATGTAAAGGCATTGTACGGGCTCAAACAGGCTCCCAGGACCTGTTACAGTAAAATTGATTCCTTATCTTGTTCAGCTGGCTTCTAGAGAAGTGACAATGAGCCCACCTTGTATGTCAATAAGGAAGGTATGGACTTTATCATTGTATGCCTTTATGTAGATGATATAATCTATCTCAGTTCTTCACAAAGCCTGCTGCATTGGTTTAAATCCTCCATGCTAGACACACCACTTTGAGATAACTGACTTAGGGAAGCTTTAGTATTTTTGGGAGTGGAAGTTAAGAAAAGTGTGGAAGGCATCTCTCTGAGTCAAAAAAGGTATGCTCTAAACCTTCTTCAAAGGTTTCATATGGAGACCTGTGACACTGCACAGACTCCTATGAACACCAATGAGAAGCTGCAAAAGTTTGATGGTACAGAGGAGATTGATGTAAAGCTCTACAGAAGTATGGTAGGTGGGTTAAACTATCTAACTCACTCTAGGCCTAACTTAGCTAGTTAGCTTACTGTGTAAGCATTGTATCAAGATATATGCAGAGTCCAACAAAGCAACATCTTGGTGCAACAAGAAGATTCTTAAATATGTGGCTGGAACATTGGACTATGGTATATAAGTGTGAAGGATTTCAAACTGAGGGGCTACACTGATAATGATTGGGCTGGGTGTATTGATGATAAGAAAATGTCTGGCTCGGTGTTTGATCTGGGTTCTGGAGCAATAACTTTGAGTGCAAAGAAGGAGGATATAGTTGCATTATCATCCTCTGAAGCAGAATATGTGGCTGCAGGAGCTGCAGCCAAACAAGCATTGTGGATTAGCAAGATATTGAAAGATGTGGGGTGCAATCAACCTGAGCAAATTGATCTTTGGTGTGACAAAAAATCAGCAATTGCTATGGCAAAGAATCCAGCTTATCACTCAAGAAAAAAGCATATAGATGTCCAATATCACTTCATAAGGTAACTGGTGTCTCAAGGAAGAATTTCTCTTCGTTTCTGTGGAACTGAATGGCAGAATGCAGATCTCTTTACGAAGGCTCTAAACCATACTAAACATAACCACTTCATGAGAAGAATTGGGCTATACAAGCTTGGATCAAGGGTGGTCTTGAAAATGATCAAGCTTGAAACAAGAAGGTTGCATGAGGCTGCATGGGAGCTATTTTGAGACATGCACACGTAGGATTTGGTTTAATAAGTTATTTGTTACTTAATTATTATTATTATTATGTTTGAGCATTATCTAGTTGAAAGAGTCTTCAGTTGTTAGTTAGTATTTAGGAGCATCATTAGTTGAGTAAGTGCACGTTTGATCATGGCTATTATCTAGGAGTTAGGTTCTTTGTTTATGTGGCTATTATTCAATGTAAAATGGCTATATTAAGCCCTTTGTTATTCCAATGAAACTATGAGTTTATCTGCCCTCTTTTGAGTTCGTGTATTCATCAATATAAGAGTGTTTGTAGCTAGAAAAGTTAACAGATGATACACTTGGAGGTAGTAGAACCATAGCCTAACTGCACTGTCCTCCATTTAATCCTGATCTAAAGGCAGGCACACGTGCATTCAGGATGACGACAACACAAATGTTTGGATGAATCAAAGCGACAAAGTGTATTGAACTTTTTGTTGATTCATGATTGGGCACCACAGTTTCATTCTTCCGAAGGATTTTCAGCTTACTTTGATTATTAATATATATAATTCACTATAAGTAAAAAAAAACTAAAAAAACAGATTATAGGAAATTTAAATTGAGAGGAATTGAACAATATTTTTCAAAAATGTCTAATACATTAATAAATAAAAGAAAAAATGGCACCTATATTACTAATAATCTTTTCATTTCCAATAATATGAGTCTTTATATGTTTTCCAAAAAAGTGACTAAGCACATAAGCACATTTATTATTGAGGTGTAAATCATTTAAGAAGAGTTTCTCTCACCCATATATTTCGTCCTTTTCTTTCTGCATTCAACCCTCCTACTTGGAATTGAACCTCTGTATTCACATTATGCATTCAAATGAAAGGTTTTAGCTTTTGGAAATAGTCATGCACACAAGGCTCTCTATTTACCACACCTCCGCCTATCTCGGCCTATGTATTAACGATCGTCGCCGCAGATGCTTTGCCCACCCGCTGCTGAAACCACAACTCTGCTCATCTTTTCCCCCTCCTTTCTACTTTTGCCAAAAGGCCCAAAATGCCGCCGCCGCTAGATCCAAATTCAGAGTCTTAGATTGTTCGTCTTCATCGGTGTTGTTCGATGAATGTGAGTTTAGAAGTTTTAGGAGCAGGGGGTCAAGGGGCTTGGTGGGTGCATGCTGACGGCTTTGATTGCAGGAAAGTATCTAAAATGGGTTTTTGGATGAGCGGCTGTGGTTCTTTGATCGGAGGAGGTAGAG